ATTCAAACAATCAATTGTAAATTTCCCTCTGTGGGGCCAAGAGAACTTATGTCACCAAAATTATATTTTGAAACAAAATTTAGACTTTTTAAAGGAGCAGTTTGAATTTAAACAATCAATCTTTTCATCATATTATGAATAAACTTTCTGAAAAATTTTGCTGCTTAACAATGAGCCACTCCTTAAGTGGTTCTAAGAATCAAGTTGAATAATATTACATGTAAATTTGAAGCCTTCAGAACATGTATAAGAACCACCAGTCACTTACAATGCAATAGTTAAGAATTCAGACACTTTATTTTCCCCAACCAAGTGACAAGGCATTTCATGCTGTGAATATCTAACACTCTGCTTTGACAACTAGGCACATATTTATATTTTCTGCTATTCTAGTCAGGGAAGGGTTCAACATTGTCTCCGTTGATTTAGTGCCTACTCAAGTCAGTCTTTCGATATTTGTCCTGGTAACTGGACCAGGAACACCTGGTGATGACTTGTCACAAATTATAGTGATATTCTTTATTCTTTGAATAGTTTTGTTTGGCAGGGGTGATGTTGAACGGACAGTAGATAAACAACACAGAGATCCACTGAATTGTAACACTGGGAATATTAAATAAACGGTGTTGTTTGATACACTTCACTAGAATAAAGCCACTGAAAAGACTTTTCTCTCCAGAATTTAAAACAAATTAAGAAAAAACAGATTGTAGCAGAAAGACAGAGAGAGGGACATAGAGCAAAGTTTTAAATCAGGATGGATTTCTGAAAAGGGTACATAAGGAAATTCAAAGACAAACAATTAACTGGTAAGGTAGTAAATAGATTACCAGTTACCTGGAGGTGGTACTAAAATTAAAATCAACACTGCAGTCAACGCAGAATTCAGAAGATAAATTATTAAAGAAAGTATGTGAAAGAACAGGATTTGTTATTTCTAATAGATTTTAGACAATCTTACTGCTTAGAAATTTGGAAAGGGTTTTCTTTTCCGTGTTTCAACACCGGCCAAATAGAATACTCCTTAAAGATACTATTTCTTACTTTCTTATTTTTTCTCCTTACCTCATATTATTCTCATTGTCTGTTTCTTTTTGGCCTTACCCTATACAGCTGATTTATTATTTTAGGTCAAATACAACTCCAACTACAACCTATCACTGTATTATAATTATGACTAGTTACGTAAATATCAGTTTCTATGCCCCATTTACCTGAGTCTTTGGCTAAAATGCAGGATTCTTGTGCTTCAAGATTGAGAATTCATTTTTGCTATATAAACCCTAAAGTCTCTTAGAATTCCAGAAATATATGGTTCTAGAAAATCAGTTTGTCTGGATCATAGGTTAGTACAGTTGAAATGCTTATAGCAAGTTGATGAAACAAGTCATGAATATGCCACCTCTAAATACATCCCCCTTTTTTTTTGAGACGAAGTCTTACTTTGTGGCCCAGGCTGGAATGCGATGGCATGATCTCGGCTCACAGCAACCTCTGCCTCCTGGATTCAAGTGATTCTCCTGCCTCAGCCTCATGAGTAGCTGGGATTACAGGCACATGCCACCACACCTGGCTAATTTTTGTATTTTTAGTAGAGACGGTATTTCACCATTGTTGGGTCAGGCTGGTCTCTAACTCCTGACCTTGTGATCCACCCACCTCAGCCTCCCAAGGTGCCAGGATCACAGACATAAGCCACTGTACCCAAATCTTTAGCATAAAGATTACTTTGAGCTGAAGATAACTAAGAAACATAAGATGCTCCCCATACCATACCAAACACTCTATGCCTCCCTCGCAATTTACAAAAAATCAGGGTTAGACTTTTAATGGAGACTCTGATTAACCCAGAGGCACAGAGGAAAATAAACTACATAACAAAGCTTACTCAAACAAAACTTTTATCTTCCATTAACTTCCCTGCATATATTTATCTTCTCACAGTTTGATATCCCTGAAAGGCTAAATCTCTTTCCTTTTGTCTTGTTACTTCTCTACACATTTATTATTCTCTCTTAAGATAACATATAAGATCTAACAACCCTGAGTTACCCTGAATTTCTCCTACATGTATGTGTGCTGAATTTTAATTTATATACATTTTATCTGGAAAAAATACTGGTGCTGTGGGGTGTGAGGGAACATGCAGATAAAAAACAAAAATGGTAGAAATGTAGACAGTTGCTAAAGCTGGATGCGGTACATGGAATGTTCATTATATGACTCTGTTTACTCTGTTATATTAAAAACCAAATGAATAAAGTTAAAAACGATCTCCTTGTGTTTTGGTTTTGCTAAATTACTTCTTTACAGCGTATCACCTTTAAACTGGTGAATAACAGAAAGTTCTTAAATTGAAAAAAAGGTAGTTTTTTAGATTAGTCTGTCTAATAATCATTTCCTATAATTTGGATGTGTACCCCACAGCTCATGTGTTGGAAACTTGATCCCCAATGTAATCATGTTGAAAGGTGCGACCTTTAAGAGGCAATTGCATCATGAAGTATTCTCACACATGGATTAATGTTGTTATCATGAGACTAGGCTCGTTATTTTGAGGGGCTTGTTATAAAAGTGAGTTTGGCCTTGTCTTGCTCTCATGGATGGTCTCTTACCATTTTGCCTTCCCAACTGGATGAAATGATTAAGACCCTTGCCAGATGTGAGCTCCATGTCCTTGGACTGACCAGCCTCCTGAACTGTGAGAAACAAATCTCTGCTCTTTATAAATTACTCAGTTTCAGGTACTCCATAACAGCAACACAAAATCCACTAAGAAAATTGAAACCAGATAGATGTGTGGTGTTTGCTATAACAAATTCCTGAAAACATGGAAGCAGCTTTGGAAGTGGATAATGGGTAGAGGCTCCAATAACTTAAAGGAACAGGCTACAAAGCCTAAGTCGTTGCGAGCAAATCTAGGATTATTAATAGCCATTCTAGTGAGGTCTTTAGAAAAAAAGACAAGAGCTATGGGGAAGTCTGTATCTTCCTAGAGATTACTTCAATGGTCATGACCAGAATGTTAATAGAAATACGGACAGTAAAGGCCACTCTGATAAGGTCTCATGCAGAAATGAGGAACAATGTAGTGGAAACTGGAGTAAAGGACATCACTGTTAAAAAGTGGCAACAAATTTGACTGAATTGTGTCCATGCCCAGGGCTTTTTAGAAGATAGAATGTTAATACAGTAAACTAAGTTGTCTGGCAGAAAAACATATCTAAGCAGCAAAGTGTTCAAGGTGCTACGTGGCTTCTTTTGATGGTTTACAGTCAAATGAAAGAAATGAAAAATGTTTTTAAATGGAATTTTTAATTAAAAGAGAAGCAGAACAGAAAAATTTGGAAAATTGCTACCCGGACATGTAAAAAATGAAAAAGTATGTTTACGAGAGGAAAGCAGTGGTGCAGCTATTTGATAAGAACATTAATGTGGATAAAAAAGAACCTGGACACTATTCATCAAGGCAATGGCAGAGTAAAGAGAGAGATTTCAGAGATTCTGTATATTCTAAACTTTCTACTATTTTATAAGTTTAAATTATTTCAGAATAACAAGTAAAAAAAGGATGTTGAAACTGCTTACAACTCTGGCCAGTACTTGCTAGCTATTACTAAACTCAGCATTTATGAAATAACCTGGGGCAAAAAAATGTTAAGAGTCATGGTGCTAACTGAACAACTTACCAACTTAAGTTTTAGTACTTGTACCGAGTCTATTTTTAGCACTGCAGCCCTTGACTTGCCACAGTGAGTTAGCTGCCAAACACAGCTTCTTGAAGCTGAGCAATTACAACCCAGGGCAGTGAGAGTATTTGAGAATGAGAGAGCTGGACTGGCGCTTTGGGTGATGTCTAGAAATTGCAGATATATGCCTACTAGTTCTAACTTAAAATTGTAATGATAAGACATGGGACTGTACAAAGTACAAAGCAGTGAGATCCCAGATAAAATTTACATGGATTATTAAAGGAATACTTTTGTAGAAGAAAACGCAATAATCCGTAGACTCTACAAAATTCATTAGTTATAATTCATATGGGATTCCATTTGCTTCTTTCTTGGGGAAAGTTGCTAATTAATTGGTGAAGTTAACATGGAGAGAATAGACAGCTGGATTTGAGTAAGATAACTAGTAAATTCTTTTGTGATGTTTTGGGGAAAATAAAACTATTGGCAGAACACATAAATAGTTACATAATTTTGGGGTGGTCAGTTTAATTACTGACTGAAGTGTCATGGTTAATGCGTCAGTATCACCCTGGAAGACGATTCAAAGAGCTTTTTTCTCAGCCAGGTTGAATGAACAGAATACATGTCAATAACCTATTGGACAGAAATTCAATGATGCAGTGAGCATCTGCCACTGAAAATCACAGTTGTTCTCTGTCTGCCACGTGATCCCTGCTGTCATGAATACAGCTGTCTAGGAAAAAGAAAGATATTTGCTGCAAAGTCGCCATCACTATACTGCCAGTGATTGGCCAGAGCAATGAGGTCCCTTCTCTTAAGTCAGCCAGAAAACCATATTAAAGCCATTCTTCTCTAGCATCTTTTCTTACTGCCTTACTCACCTAACTTAATCATGTGGACCTCTAGACCTTTAGACCCCGGACTTAAGGTTATTACAGCTGCCCCGAAGCAGCAGACATTTGATGCTCTTGGGTGTTTGTAAGTGCGATTGGCCTACCTGGAGTGTCTGTCACTCCTGGTGCTAATTTGTCTCCTCAGTTAACCAACAATAACACATAAAATACGTTTTCTGTCTGTTCATCATACTTCAATTTGTTGAGATAAAAATTCATTATAGTATAAATCAAATTTATACCAACAAATTGGTGGTCTATAATTTTGAGAAGATAAAAAATAAATTGCTTTTTAAACATGGGATGATAAGAATTATTTGACTTCACTATTCCTGATAGGTAGAATTTACTTCTAACTTGCAACCTTGTAATGCTAACTAACAAATGTAATAATGAGGAACAACAAACCTACCAACACTTGGGTAACCAGGTGTAGAAGGGTCTCCTCCTGGATTCAGTGGCACCATGAAGATATCATGGCTAGGATTCACAGTCTTTGGTAAATCACAAGGATCAATATATAGAAGGACGCCTCCAAATCCAGCTTTTTCCAATAGGGAAAGCTAAAAGAGGAAAGCAAGTTATTAAAAATATTATCACGCACATTAAAATTTCATATAGTGCTATTTCGCCAATATGGCTATGATGGCTTTTTTTCCTGTTTTTTTTTTTTTTTTCTTTTAAAATAAGCAGACATTTCAGATTTCCATCAAGCCCAAAGGATTTTTCTACTGGCCTTTTTTTCCCCTCTTTTCTTGCCCTTGTTTTCCTCTGTCTCTACCAGCATTCCTATAATATTTTATTTCAAATGTCTGTTCATTGAATTCTTCACTTTCTGATTTTCAATGAAGTATATTTTAACTTCCTACTTTTTTGAATTAACAGAGGATCTACCACACATAAGTCTCTTCTTTTAAAAAGAGAATTGTTGTCACCACTATGCCTTTCCCTAAAGCAGAAATCACCTGCAGTGTTGTGACATATTTCCTCCAGGGATGAGCCTTCATGCCGGGTGTTAACATGTTGAAATACTTTCACACTTTTTAGTAAATAGTCACCATCCTGAATCTCCTGAGAGCCCCCAGTATACTAGTCATCTTGGTCTCTGCTGGCTATCCCAGCCAGATTTCCCAGACAGAGCAACTGAGGAATTTACACATAACTAATGGGGGTCTCCTTCTGAGGGATCAGCACTTGTTCTGTTTTGAAAATAGACCCTGTCATTTGAGACATATTTAATGTAAAGATTCCTCTATTCTTTGGCAAATGCACAATAGATATGTATGATAGAACAGACAAACTTGACAATATACCAAGTTTATTTTTATTTTAACATTTTAAATTGATTTTTTTGGTAAGGTGCTAATTTATTTTAGTCATCTTAGTATGATTTGCCTAATATATAAAACAATAATCATGATTTGCTAATTCTATTAGTTTTTTATGAGTGAGGAAAAGTAATTAGGAAACATAGAGATAATAAAGGAAAATATGACCAAAGGTCATATTCAATATAGGCAGTCACTGCTCCTTGTGTGACTTTACTTAACACCCATACTTCATTCCCAATTACTGCTTATGTTGCTTATTGACATTTTCACTGGAGTACGCAAGGCAGCACCACCCCCCGAGGGTAGAGACTGTGCTTTTCTTCTCTAGCATTGCACATCTTGTACTAAGTAGGCTTTCAAGAGCATTGGCTAAATGAGAGAATGAATGAGAGAGATGCAGGCGAGGCACAACAGCTACTTCTTTTTTACATTTATTTATTTGTTTGTTTGTTTGTTTCTGAGATAGAGTCTCACTGTGTTGCCCAGGTTGAAGCCATTTTCCTGCCTCAGCCTCCAAAGTAGCTGGGATTAGAGTAACTGCTAGCACACCTGGCCAGTTTTTGTATTTTTAGTAGAGATGGAGTTTAACCATGTTGGCCAGGCTGGTCTCAAACTCCTGACCTCAAATAATCTACCTGCCTCAGCCTCCCAAAGTGCTGGGATTACAAGAATGAGACACTGCATCCAGCACAGCTATTCCTAAAGAAAGGAGATCCCCAGGAAAATATTTGGGATGCCCTTCCATTAGAAAAAATGAAACATTATTGGATATACAGTATAATTTTAAAACAACGTGCAAAGAATAAAAACAGATATAAAACTTAGGTATGCCACAATAATGGCATTTTCCCTAGTCCTTTAAAAACGCTTTTCCAATTTTTGGTGTAATAAATAGCATGCATTATTTTATAATTAAATAAACTAACACTGAGAACCTAAGTAAAGCATAATTGACTAATTTCTGTTCACCCTTATCAGGTTTTTGTCATTATTTTCCCTTCAGTGTTTCGGTAGAAAGGAGAGAAGAATTTGAAAAGAAAGGGAGAATGAGAAAAGGAAAACAGAGCAAAGAATGTGTGAATGAGAGAGTCAGATTTAAGACTTACTCTTCAAATTCTCATCACTGAAATCACATGAGGGAGAGGCTTTTTAATATTTACATGGAGATACAGCTATTCTTAAAAAGAATAATCAATGGATTTTGAATGTTTGCTTACTATAGAAGAATATATAAAAAAATAGAATATAACTCAGCAATAAAAAGGGAAACACGGATGAATCTCAAAACATCACACTAAATGAAAGAAGCCAGATTTAAAAAGCTACTTCCTGCATAATTCCATGTACATAACATTCTTGAAAAGTTGAAAACCTAGGAACAGAAATCAGATCAGTGATTGCTAGAGGGCAGTTGGGGAGAGTGGTTTAATTACAAAGGTAAGGAGGTGATTTCTGAGGGTGATGGAAGTATTCTGTATCTTGATTTTAGTGGTTGTTACATTCATCATATATCATATACACATCACCTTAAAATGATGAATTTTACTGTATGCAAAATATGCCTCAATAAACAACAAAATAATCTGTTTGTAAATAAATGAATGTAAATATTCCAAAATGTTAAGAGTGGCATTGTGTAGGTCAGAGTATCCTTGTTGCTTTTTAAATCTCTTTCAGTATTCTGTATTACTTTTTAAACAAATAAAAACTAATAAAAATTTTTTTGATAAAAAATAAACTTCTTTAGAAAGCAAGCGTCTAAATACTAAAAAATTACTTTTTATCGCTAAAGCAATTCATGATCATTACAGAGAAAAAGGTGTAGGCAAAGGAAAACTGTCCCATCATTCTATCTGTCAAGAAATAGTTAATGTTCATTCTATCTGTCAAGAAATAAATTGTTAATGTTAACTTGTTGGGGTGTTGAGACTTTTTTTTTTACTAGGGCTTTTGCACACATATACATACACTTACAAAATAAACCACATCATAAATGCTACTTTGCAACCTCTTTTCATTTGCTTATCACTACATAATAAACATTTGTCTATGTTGACAAATACAATTTTATATAATTTACATAGCCATATGCTGTTAAATATACAACATATAATATAAATACTATTATATAGAGAGGCCATAAATGTTATTTAACTTATCTCTGATTGTTTGTCATATAACTATTGTTAATTTTAAATTTGTTAATTAAAATAATTTAAACTTTTTAATTTTTAATATTTCAATATTATAAGTGATAAATATCCTTGTAGCAAAATCTCTGCAAAAATATCCCTTTTTATGAAAGATATTTCCAGGTCAAATCATTCATTTTTTATGATTTTTGATAAGCTATTTTCCCTTTAGAGAAGCTAATAAGTAATTAATAGTCTTACTGGATATATATGTATTTGCTTACCTTCACTTTCACCAACATTTAATATTATTTCTTTTTAAGAAACATTTACTGATGTATCCAAAAATCACTAGTCAAAAACATATATTTTAATTACAAGTCAACTTAAACCTTTTTCTGTATGCTTTTGGCAATTAACATTTTGCTTGAGAACTACTTGCTTGTGAAAAACTGTTTTTAAGATTTCTGGGTCACTTATCCATCTACCACAATGTATTGTGTGTCACTTTTTTGCGGGTAACACATTGGAATTAGGATATGGAGAGAAGTAGGAAAAGGTCTGTGAACATCTAAGGAAGTTCAGTTTACCAGTGGGATGGCCAAAATTTCCATCTTGAGTGCTAACTCCAATTAACTGGCAAAGCATAGCTCTCTAGGGAGGGATTGTGGGGCCAGGTTCAGGGCCATTGCAAAAGTGGTTCTAGGAGTGATGTCTGCCACAGTAGAAAAAGGGGATGTGGGATCCACATTTTATTTTGTCTTTTTGTTTTTGTTTTTTAATGTCCTAACCCTGCTTTAGTGGGATAGTCAAAGTATCCTCAAGAATTCCTTCTACAGAAGGGAAAGTACAATAACTATTTGATTGTTTAATATTTATGAAACCTAGTGTTTTAGATCTAAGTCAAAATAATATGCTAGAGTTGCCAGTTGTGTCTCTTCTGAGTCTATTTGGTAACATGTTTTGACCCCTTTTATAATCAATATATAACATGAATTTTTCAATAGCTGATGGCCTATAATGAAGCAATAGGATGTAATCAAATACTATTTTTGGCTAGAGTTGATTACTTCCCCACAGCCCTGAAAGGATAGAGCCAAATATGTGATTTAGCTTAGCTCCCTCTTCCATTGTCCGCCTGCAATGGTTTGACCTGAGGTGAACACCTGTTCAGTGTTGTCAAATTTGGTTCCTGGTGCCATCTGTCACTGGCCATCATACTGCTCTTAATTTAGAAATAAAAACACTTAATTTCAGAAATTATCTATTTTTGGATTTCCAGTGAAGTTGGCAAAAAAAGGACACTGCCTATACCAAACCAAACGAGAAATGTTCTTTTGTGTTGTTAACTACAGTTTGAACATACTGAGGCTGGGGTTGTCTAAAATGTTTAAAACATCTGCTACTCTCGTAGGACGGTACTTTTTAAAATGCATTCAAAGGCAAGCCTATGTAAAAGGGGTGAAGGCTGCTGTTTCTGGGTTATCTGCGTCAGCTGGTGTCAGACTGTCCCTTGACACAGGCAAAAGTGTTCAGTCCTGCTCAGCACCTCTTAGGGCTTGAGACAGCTTACGCTATGGAACAATGGCTACATGGAGGTCTAATTCCTGAAAAATGGAGTCAAGTCTTAGGCCAAGAATTCCTGACACCGAACTTCAACTATGCCTGACTTCTCTCTCTCTTGAATATATGGGCTGGGGGTCATTTGCCATGCTCAACCGTGTTTACTCAGGGCTTAGAAACTATGAGCCCTTCATGGAAACTGTTGACAGAATAGGAGCTGACAGTCAGAGAGAATGTAGACGAGGGTGGGCAGAGAAGAGTCTGCATGCGCAGACTCCAGATCCTGCTGTACTCCTACTTGAACTGGGTAAGATTTTCCTCCCTTTCTTTGACAAGGATTCTGTTACTTGAAAATATATAAATCATACCCAAGACAGGTAAAAATTCATTAGGATGGGAAACAATTCAGGAATTTGGTACCAACCTTGACACTAAATAGCTGTCTGACAACTTATATAAATTTTCTATGCCTTGGCTTCACCATCGACAAGATGCAAAGATTGAATTACATTGTCTCCAAAGATCCTTTCTGCTCTA